TCCAGCTCGAACATATATGAACTTGTTAAACAATATACATTCTGATACTAGGTTATATTTAATAACAATGAAATGGAAATTTCATTAACTCTCTAGATTGTTGGATAGAAATTTTGTTTTACTTTTAAAAGGACAGCACCTAAAACAGTCTGGGTTGCAGTTTGTCTAATTTATACTGAATAACAAAATAAAAACTCTCATTTATTGAACACCATTTGCTACGTGCTTTATGTTCTAGTACTTCATTTAATTGTAATGATCCCATGAGGTACGTATAATACTCACATTTCCATAAGAGGAAACATATTTAAAGAAGTTAAATGACTTGCCTAAGGCCACTCAATGGTGCAGCAAGGATTCAAAATACTTTTAAACGTTAGATAATTCTTCAAAATCTCATATAAAATAGTTATTGTTATAGCCATTTTACACTTGGGGAAAATACCCAACTGAGGCTAAAAACAGTTAAGATAGAAGTTACAGTGAATAAATTGCAGAACTGACATAAAAATACATCTTCGAAGCCGATGCTTTTTTCAATATGTTACACTAACTTTGATAAGAAATAGTACTCAATAAGTAACACAGAGATGTTCAGTAATTGCTTAGTGAACAAAAAATGAATTAACAAATGAAAAGTAACTGAGCCATGCAAAGTGCAGTATTATATAAAATGGACCCCAAGTGATCTGAAAAGTGAAGTTAAAAAACACTCTCCAGCTAAAAACACTCCTCAAGCTAACAACAACAACAAAACAGAAACCCACAATGTTTTACACCTAAGTAATTGTGGTACTGGTAAAGCTTATTGGAATGGAGATTCAACATGTTCTGGAGCTTGTTCCAGGATTTCCAACCTGAAGTTCTTCATTATATCTAACCAACATTTATATAAGCCCATTTACTCCATTTCTGTCTCCTGGAGAAAGGGAAAATGCCAATCAGCCTCCGGAAGACAATTCACCTGTCTACCGACAAAGACCTTTTCCTTCATAAAACCCCTCCATGTTAGACAACCATCAAATGTGTCATTCAGTCTTTGTCTCCCCTTTGATCTCATCTATAGCCTGCTCTGCTCTCAGATATAAATGGATGACTTTAGGGGTAAATCTTTTCAACAAATGCTAAAAAGAATGGCTCTTGTGGAAGTTACAAATTAGTAATACTCAAAATTTGGGATTTAGGATTTATCATTGCCCAGGATTAGTGCTGCACTTAAAAGTTATTGATTCTGCCTGCAAACACTATTCTTTAGAGGCTGGCATGGTATTTGAGTTGCTTCTATGGCTAAATAAGTCCAGCCACAGGCCAATCCCATAGCAGTTTTGCCCAAGGAAGAAGAAAAGAGAGAGTCGAACCAATTGAGTTGCCTTTACATGGTTATAGATTCAGACTCCAGTTAAATACATTAATAGTGAACTTACTGAATTATGTCATGACTAGCATCTCTCAGTTCACAGATTTGACCTTGACCCACTTCAACTCTCACAATACAGAACTGTTTAAGCTTTTTAAAATATAGATAGCCATATAACATTCTAATTTTGTCAGCTACTATTTATACAATGTTAAATTACATTTAATATATTTTTAACTTGCCTCTGGATCCTCTAAACATTCTTACATCTTTCCCACCTCATGAAGAACAAAGGCAGGCACATGAGTATAACAATCATATAACCCTTGTATGCAATGGTCTCAGATACAGGAGGACAGTATTGTAGCTGAGCATCTCTATCAGTGCTGTTACTATTAAACCATGCTGGTAGTAAGTACTGGTGCTTATTTGATGTGGTTCAATGATGTAACTTCTCTCTTTCTTTATTTATAAAAAAACGTCCAATAATCATAAATGCTTTCTGGGGAGGAAGGGAGAAACATCTATTTTAATCACAATATTGCTAAGAGAAGATTTCCCCTTGTTTCATTTTCCACTTGCATGTATCACTAGTATAAGTCTAACCCCAGAAAGAAGGACTCGAGGCAAAGAACCTACAGATGAATATGCCTAACTTACTGAACACGTGGTTCAAAACAAGAGAAAAATATGAACACACTAATAAAAGTATCAGGATGTAATTCTTTCAGGTAGATAGGGTGTTCAGTGAATATTCCAAATTCATAACCTATTTTACTATCACAATGCCTATGGTTTTATGAAAGCATGAATAGAGTTTATGAAGACAAAAAATGACTAATGAAGAATATTCTTTGCTTTCTATTGGGAACTTTTGTTTGCTTCTAACTGTTTAATTTCTCTTCCACCTCACTTTCAATTAACCTCCCTGTTTGTATTCAATGAGATGGCACATAATATGGATAAAGAAAAAAAATCTTGCTGATTTATGAGTATTCTTTCATAAAGTGGCAGCTTTTTTCAGCCAGATTCATAAGTGCTGAAATTGAGAGGAAATGCACAGAACAGTAACTATCCTAAATGAGAAAACACATCATAGTTTCCTGGGTTGTTTAATCAGTGGCTCACAAATGGCCCCTGAGGCTTCATTGTGGACATATACACAGGTAGTAAGCAGACAGGGGGAAAGCAATTGAATCTTTGCATGCAGAAATTTGGAATAACTTGTCGTAATAGTATAACAGAGAAAAACAATGATTTAAAGGTTCTCTACATCTTTTAAAAAGTTCACATCCAAGATTTATTTTTAAATGAAACAGGTCCTTTATTTTCCACACTGTTATTCATATGGAGTATAAAAGCAACAAAAAAAATGGAAACAATAGAAAATGGAATTGTTAACAACCACAGCAAGATACATTAAATTGTAATAAAAAGACCTGTTACTAACAAAAGTCCTTTTTGCTCCTGAACAACTACAAAGTTGTTCGTCTATGGGAAGGAAGTATTAATCATGTAATATTGCCAAGGTCAATGTGGACAACAACAGAATGATTTGTTGAGTAGCTATTGGTTGGCAAGTTAAATCTGTCTATGGACAGCTTTTTGGTATACTTCCTGGTTTTCAAAGCTATATGCACATGTATTTGTTGTACTTCCTAGGATACATATAGCTAGATATATAACTTTTCTCCCCAGCTAGAATCAGTTCACTTCTTCTGACTGGGTATGGATGGTGGGGTCACAAAATGTGAGAGAATATGATTAGAGGCATATTTTTCCTGCCCTGCCTCTGCTATATGGGAATTCTGGGATTTGGTTACAGGGATATTGCATAGTTCTTTGTATGTCCACAAAAAGGTACACAAATCCTGCTTGTCAAATTTTTTCTGCCTTAATGTAGTTCACATGAATGACACGCTGTCATTGCCCTCTCTCTTAAAGAATAGAGGAGAAAGCTGTATTAATGGGGATGAGTGCTCTGCAAGTGCTGTGAATATGTACATTTGCAGCTGAACTTCAGTAGAAACTATACGTTTCCCCAGTTGTAGGCAGTAAGCTCACATTCAACAAGTGAGGCTCTAAGGAGGTTGTGCAGGTAAAAGTTAGAATTAGCAGGCCTGATCTTTAGGACCCTGGAGGGCTGGCCTTTAACTGGCATCTGGAAATTGGAATGTTCCCTACACTAATAAGGTTATTTGGCCCACCTGGAGCTCTAAACAGCTGGTTTTCTTCAAGGAGTCTGAAATTTTGGTGGTTGTGGTGGACAGAGGATACCTCCTTGAGCAGCCCCAAGAAAAGCCTTGGACTCTGAGTCCCTGGGCAGGAATAGTACACATACATTGATGCATTTTGCTGCTGGAGAAAAGAGCACAATGCTCCATGTGACCTCACTCAGTGGGACAGAAAGAAAACAGGAAGCCCGCGCATGAACTTTTCCAGACTCTGCCTGATGTATTTTTTTTCCTTTCTGATCACTGCAATAAACTATAACCATGAGAATAACTAGTAGATCACCAACATGGGGGTGGGTAGTGAAACCCCTTGAAAAAATGTCAGGGATGTCAATAAGTTAGCAAGAAACTTACATCAAGTTTGTAAAGATGCAATTGTGAAAATTTATAAGATTTATAAGATTCCAATTTTCCTATGACAAAATTCTTGGCTAACCAATTACTGTAAGCAAAAACATGAAGTACATAACACTTACAGATACACTGGAGGAAGAAATCTTTTAAGATACTGACACTCCTCCCAATAGCTTTATCAAATCTTACCCTAAGGACATAAAACAATGTGGAGAAATACTGTGCCTCAAATTCTAAAATTTTTGTAGGATGGTGCCATTTATAATTAACACTATGTACTTTCACTGAAGTAAGGCAGAAACATTACTTTAGCTGTATTTTTTTTAATTGAACATTTTAATTTTAGTGGCTCAAATGGTAAAAGCAAAGCCACTGAATACTGTATTTTCTGGATACTTCTGTGTCCATGCTAAATTCCATTTATGCACAAACTTTCTGATCTGAAACATCTGATTGTTTAATTTAACCTACACATGTTCATGAATGTTACCATATTTGAGAAATTATCAAGCACATAGGTTTGTTTAAGAAGAGCTAGACTTGTGTATTTTATTCTACTTTCTTTCTCATGGAACTACTAAATAAAGTCATAAAAGTCAAACCTCTTTTGTACAGACTCAACATATTGACAAGTCGAATGTGTGATTCTGGAATCTATAGGTGCTAATAAGGCCACATTTTTGGAAAAACTTTAATTTTTAAAGTAAAAAATCTGACTGCTAGGAAGAGATATAATGGCAGTGAGAACACTAAGTAATATTCAATAAAAGCTTATTTGTAAATAAGAAATTAAATCTTTATGTGAGTCAATTTTTATGCCCGTCACAAAAAACAATGAATGAAAAATTCTTATACCTCATACTTGTGACAGTTGTTCTAAAAAGAACTGAACTGCCATTGTAAAATGACAACCATATTTTAAAAATAATGCCTTTTTAAGAAAGACAAGTGAAAAATAACATGAAGAAAGAAGCGTTTTCCTAGCTGAAAGCAGCAGACAGTTTGCACTCTTCTGCTGTGTGTGGAGGGTGGACAGAGAAGTGCAGCTGGCCTACCGATAGTGCAGTGCTCTCCGTTCCATCCCTGGCTGCATTCGCACTTGCCGTCCTTGCAGGTCCCGTGTTCGGCACAGCGGGGGTGGCAAGCTCTTTGATTACATGCTGGGCCCGTCCAGCCTTCTTCACAGCGACAAGTCCCCCCCATGCAAACACCATGTGAGCCACAGTCCACAGAGCATATTTCTATATTGAAAAGAGGAAGCAGAGCAGGAGAGAAGAGAAGCCGGGAGTGAGAGAAGGGGAATTAATAAGCAGTGCTACGCCTTCAACTCAAACTTGTTAAAGTGAAAAACAAAATCATTGGAAATAAATCAAAACTATCTGTATACTAAGTAAATTTCAGCACTGACAACTAGAAATTATAAATGGGAGAATTTTTATTCCTCATTTAATTTATATGCTTCTGTAATGGCACATAATATACACATGACAATTTTGTTATAAATAATTTCTTATATATAATTTTTATGTAAAATATATATATTATATAATATATATATATATAGGATAGTCATTTTATATGTACATAACCAAGAGTATCTTTTGGCAGCCAAGAAAACACACATACACACACACCATGTTAATTAAATATTTCAGTATCTAAACATCTCAGGTATTTACTTGGTTTTGGGTTTTACACATATAGTAAGAACCACAAAGGGGTTACTTCTAATGCCACCATTAAAATTTTAAAAATATTCAGAAACTTTCATTAAGAAGAATCTATTATAGTCAGTACTTCAGCTTGCTTCTGACACACAGACATACTGGTTAAATAAAATAAATTGTTTTTCTTATTCAGTAAATTTATACTGTTGATAAATAGTAGAGAACCAGTTTAATAATATATATAACTATTGACTCATTTGAAAAACAAGGGTTTTCAACAACTAGAGTTACTGAAAGGAACACAAGTGACCAAATGACTTCAAAGAGTATAATACCAGATGGGTTCTTTAAAAATAATTCAGATGTCTGAAATATTTTTTTTTTCTTAAAGCTTTCTTCAACGCTTTATTTAACTATACCCAATTGAGAGAGAGGGAGAGAAAGAGGGGGAAGCAGGTTTTGAAGAGTATTTTAATTTTTATTCTTTACATATAAAGTTAAAGTTAACTATAGTTTTTTTCCTTTGATAGTAAGACTATTGTTTAGTTTTGATTTTCTTGCAAAAATAGAAATGCTGAACAATAAAAACTCATTTCTATCAAACAGAAAATGGACTTTAAAGAAAAAATTTAAAAATAGGAATTGTTTATGTAGTCACATGCTTTTATTTTCTCTAATTATTCCCCAAGTAACATTTCCTGAAACCGTAATTATCTACCTCATAGACTAAACACCATATCAAGGCACTGTAAGAATTGTAACAAGTCTTATAAACGACATCTAGAACTATTAACTTGAAAACAGTGTGTGGGTTTTTTTTTTTTTAATGCTACATTTTCTATCTCCTTTGAATTAAATTTTTGATTAAGAGATCCAAGACGGTTTGATTAACTTCAGGGCAACATAACATCAACTCAGCTCCAGAACAGAGAGCTTTCTTTCTGAGGTACCCTTTCATTGAATCTAATCAATTTTTCATTAGGGTGAAGGTGTTTATCAGCGTTTAGCACACTAGCTTTGAGCAAGGTGCGTCAATCTTTGTAATGAACTTATTAATTAGACTTAATTTAATTGAAGTGGAATTGAAGGGCTAATTAATGGACAAACTGCCGATGAAGATAGAGGGTAGCTGTGCTGCTTTCAAACCTATAAACTTTCTGATAAAAATAATTCATTTCTTCTCTTTTAGCAGCTTAACCAAATGTTTCTTTAGGTGTAAATCTACTCTCTTATTGAATTTAGATATCTGAAGGTCATTTCCACAACAAGAAAAAAATGTTTTCCTTTAGGATTCATTTAGTTAGAAATTCAGTTACACTGCTGGTAAACTTTAATTGACAAATGTAAATTAACAATGTTTTTATAAGCTTTAAATGAGAACCGTACAATAGCTACATAGATTGGAGACACACGAGAGTGTGTATTTTCACGGGGTGAACATAAGCATATTTGAGATCTTTTTTTTTTTTTTTTTTTAAAAAGATGACCGGTAAGGGGATCTCAACCCTTGGCCTGGTGTTGTCAGCACCACACTCAGCCAGTGAGCAAACCGGCCATCCCTATATAGGATCCGAACCCGTGGCCTTGGTGGTCTCAGCACCGCACTCTACCGAGTGAGCCACGGGCCGGCCCTATATTTGAGATCTTTACTATCAATTCTAGGTAAGTTTTCTGTCTTTTTGCAGCCAACAGCAAAGTTTAATAAAGATTTTTTCTGTACTTAATTGCTTTCTTCAAAAGAAGTGTACTGTATTCATTATTCAACTCAACATATTGAGAGTTTAAATGTTAAGTTTCTGTTTTGCACTGAGGAAATAAAGATGAAAATGACAAAGATCTCTGCTCACTATGACTAAAGAGTCATTTTGTACACAGGTAAAATTAGATTTTCAACTAGCAAAATAATTACATCAGCATGAAAAAAATTCAGTCTAAATATGTAAAATAATGATATGTGATTTGGGCAGCCAATTTAATCTTTTAATTAACATACTTTTTTCCTGCAATTCATAGCAGTATTACTTTATGAAGAGGACTGAATTACCTTCTGAGCTATTTAGTATCAATTACAAACTACTCTTTTAAAAATAATTCAGGTAATGTATTATAATAACTTGATATGAAACAAAAAAAGGGACTATTATGCTTGTTCCTTTCCTACATGGATAACTGTGGGAAGCAAATCGAAATGACAATATTTCAAGCAGGTATTATTTTATAGCTAGTATTATTATGCCTATTTTACTGATGGAGGCATAAGAGACCTGAACCAAATAGCTTTACTATGTAAGTAATTATCTCTATAAAATTTAATTGGATATATTTTGTGGCAAGAATTTTTTTGTATAGAACCTGGAAATGTAGATAAAAACTCAACAGGAAGAACTAAATGCCTATTTTGATTCATGTAATTATAAAATAAATTGTTAAGAACAGAGGACAAAACACGTTAACGTGTTATAAGAACAGAGGACAAAACAAGTTAACGTGTTATTTAAAATAATGCCATGCACCCGTGCTTGATAAATGTTGGTTGGTTCATAATGATTTCCTAAAACGTTAAGAACAGAGGACAAAACACGTTAACGTGTTATTTAAAATAATGCCATGCACCCGTGCTTGATAAATGTTGGTTGGTTCATAATGATTTCCTAAAACTATTTAGTGAGACATTCAAGGCCCTCTATAATCCAGTCCCCAACTTATGTTTTTACTCTTATTTATCCTATACATGTTACTTGCTCTAGTAGTTACGAATTTTCTAACAGTCTGTTTCCCCAGCTATCCATTGAGTCCTTACCACAACTGCCTTAATGTTTTTACTCTTATTTATCCTATACATGTTACTTGCGCTAGTAGTTACGAATTTTCTAACAGTCTGTTTCCCCAGCTATCCATTGAGTCCTTACCACA